GGTTTTTTTTTTTTTGTTTTTGTTTTGTTTTTTTATTATTAAAAAGCGCTTTCAAAGGACCCACGCCTCCCCCTCCTCTTCATCCCCCCACACCACCACCACCACCATACTACTAGACTACTTGCATGATGGGTTTTTTTTTTTTTATTTTATTTTATTTTTGATTTTGTAATCAGGGAAATAATCCTGAATGCAAGATTTTCCATCAGGAACATCGATCAGAGGGAATAAAACAGATCGTCTTGGTGTTTTCGTCGCACCTTTTCCCATCTCCGGTTCTAGTCCAAGTGATGATGATGATATGACGGTGAAGCAGCCGCCATGCAGACAAGATGCAATCCTGTTTTTACTTTGTGTTCATCAGACAATCATTTTAAGTCGTAAGCACCTTTTTTTAATACACTTCTGTCACTGCCTGTGGGGTACATGGTCAAAAAATGTCGAACAGAACCGTTTATGACTGTATCAGAATTTTATTTTCGAAATTTTATATTGAATTATGTATATCTCAAATAATGCGATCATTCTCCCGGTCTGTAATATACGTGTAGAAATATGCTTGTACATAATTATTGCTCTCCCCCGTGTCATCCTCTTTTCTATCCCTTCCTCACTTTTCTTGACTTGGTGTTCCTACATAAAATATTTGTCAAAACTTAAAACTGAAGTGCTGTAGGCGTTTTTGTTGGTTTTCTTTGATTTTTGGTGGGTTGTTAATGGCAAAAAAAAACAGAAACAAAACCAAAAACATATATATACTCTTCCGTCCACCGGGGTCACTCTGAGCGCTTATTTGCATTTGCCAATGTCATTTCCCTTTCATCGCGTAGTTATTATGTGTCTTGTAGTTACGACTCTAAAGATCAAACGCACTATTCATTTTGCTATACCTCTTTGCATGCTGATGTCTGTATTTCCATCCGATTACGGATAAGGACAGTGATAAGTGGCTAAACACATGTTCATATTGGATCATTATTGGATTGTGGAAGCATTAATGCTCATCGTGGCTTATCCAGCCTCGGAGCAGGTTATGCAGTCAGGGGGCTGGTCTCACCTAAAATTATTTTGATTTCATTTCAAGTACAGTGTTAACTCAGGATTTCATTATATGTATCGTCTTGGCGTAGACAGCTTGGTCGTGTGCAGCGACAAAAGCGGCACAACGCTGTAATTCAGTTTTAAGTTTGTAATTTTATTTTCCAAAAGAAGACGTCTGCTTTATTTTATGATTACACCCCTGGCTCAAACGTATATGATGCAGGCAAAATCGCCTATATGACTGCCTCATTCTCCAAATTCTGGCAAATGTCAACGTCATGCAGCACTTAAAAATGTGAGTGCCATTTCCCCTTTTGTTTACCGTTGCTAGTGAATACAGAAATTAAGTAAACGCGCCATTAAATGGGCTAATCACGATGGGACTCCTCCCCTGTCCCAATCTCCCATTGTGGCCCCTGAAAAGAGCTTTTCTTCCTCGGACGAGAACCATTTCCCCCTCCAAAAAAAGGCTTTCTCTCCTGCAGTCCCTTTGCATCCAAATCCCCAACCAATTATTCTGCAGACTAGAGCAGATTTGCCACAGGACACTGTTGCACGAACTGCAGTTTTGGTGGAAACACTTTCTCAGAGATTTGTTTCCTAGAAGCAGCGCTCGGGCTCTCCACATGTAAATGTGCTACACGCAACTCTGTGATACGAATCGAGTCTGTGAGTGCTGCGGTGGTGTCTTTAGTAACAGAAAGTAGGACAGTAGCCACTGTTTGGTAGGAGAAACCGCAGGACTTTCAGAAACTGAACACTGGCATAAAACCTGCGAAGAGGACTCCAGCAGTGTAAACTTCCATTTATTTAATCATGGCAGATTTCTCTCTGATTTTAATAAGAGAACTAAAGTTTCCTGTTTCCAGCACCCGCTATTACCTGTGGTGTTACAGATGATTCGCAGATCACTACCAGGATATTTTATTTTTCTTTTTTTATGACTTTTTTTGTAAAAAAAAAAAAAAAAAAAAGAAAGAAAGAAAGAAAGAAAGAAAGAAAGAAAGAAAGAAAGAAAGAAAAAGAAATAAAGAAAAGAAAAAGAAAAAGTGAAAGCCTATATACAAATGATCATGAGTGTGCCCACGGAAAATGTGAGGAGGTATTTAAATTTTGAATACAGACCAAGACACCACAAAACGCCCCCAATGGAACTACTTCAACGTGTTTTTCTAATGACTTTATTTAGAAAAGCAATGACAGGGGGATTGTAAAAAAACATAAAAGCAGTTTTTTTAGATATTTGTTGTTGAAATTCTCTCCACTAAATGTGAAATTTGGCTTGAAAAAAGTTATGGGCTATGTTATGGGTTTTTTTTTGTTTGTTTGTTTTTTTACACACTGAGTAAATGTAATCAGGTCACTGGATGAAGTGACCACATAAAGCTATCTACATGCAAAAGTCCCCACCAGACAGAAACCAAGCAGGACCTAAAACAAGTGTAGTGTCAAAAGCCTCCGCCATTCGACTCAATAGGTCTGTGATCCTGAAGTAACCGAGGACATGACGCACACAAACGCAAGGCTCAGCTCCCCGCTTGGCTAAAACAAAGCATCTCCAGCCGCACTCACTGGCAGTCGATCGTAGATGAAGTAAATCTGTATCATATTTTAAACCCATTCCGGTTCTTAAACCGGCCTGCAAGAGACAGATAGGCCCTATCAAGAGCACCGTGGGGACATGGCACCGCCGCTCCACCAGACCTTATCACGCACCCCCCGCCTCTCCATTTACGCACTCCACAAGTTTTATTGGCTGCGACAAGTCCCGGCTATGATTGAGATTAAATTAATCGTAAACTGAAGAGCATTTTTATCGGCAAAAGAGGACACGAGGATTAGGGCTGTATCTGAGAGATGGAGCCACAGATAGGGACACATGAATATAAAACAAGCGATGAATGGGCTTCATTTGCGCAACATTACGTTCATTAAACCCACGGCCCTGGAAAACGCTGTTTTATGCACATAAACTTAACTTACTTAAAAAGAAATACAAGCGTTTTTTGAAGTAGTGTTTTTTTCTTTCTTTCTTTTTCTTTTTTTGAAGTGAGCTAAGGATGCAAACTTTACAGTTGCCAGTTACACTCCTTCGTAGCCCTTATATTTGCAGTTTTAATCACCACGAGAATATTTATAAGGCTTTGCAGTAAATACTCCAGCAAATCGTGTGTTAGAGACCTATCATCGTAATTGAACGGTATAGTGTTATAGGAGCAACAGACAAACAAGTCAATATTAATTAAATCTCAGTGAGTTTTCCATTAGAGCATGTTAAACGATGTAAATGAGAGCCATGTAAACAGATACAGAATTGTTCTAGCTGCAAACATATGTAGGCCAGAGGAGCGGCAGGAAAAAAAGAAAAAAAAAAGATCTGGAAGTGCGAGTCTATCTGTTGCTCACTGGGGTCATTAACAGTGGGGGAGCTCTTGTTCGTGATCTGTCAACTCAAATATGGATCACAAGACAAAAGAACTTAGCGAGGAGTAATCTCTGTGTGTGATACTTACATGAGAGTAAACGAGAATGTGAGACAAGTGCGGCAACAATGGAGATTCACATGTTTTTTCACCCTTTCTTTTCACTTCCTGGAGTCGATTTGCATTTATGTGGGGAAAAATACCGCGTCTGTCAAAAAAAAAGGAAATAGAAAAGATTGGCATGAACGTCGACAACGTAAAGACGATTATTTTTTGATCGCTTCCAGATTTGAAGTGCCTTTACAGGGAGAAAAGCAAAGCGGGTTCTCTTCTGAAAAAAATACAATTGATTCGTGTTTGAACTGATGGTTGTTTGCGTCGCGATGATCCGCTTAGAGGTCAGAGTTGAACTTTCCCTTCGTTCTCAACTATAACATCGTGTACAAAGAAGTTAACGCAGACACTGTCAACGCAACTATAGGGGACCAGAGGAAGGAGGGGGCTATTAGACCGGAGTTGGCGGTGAGAAATACTTGCCCTGCCCCGTTTTTTCTCGGATTTCACCGGTTAACTGAACACAACTTTTCTATTGGTGTGTATTCATGCAGCAGCCAAAGAGCACCAGTTTTCCTATAGCCTCAGCCGCACGGCTGTCAGTGCAGGAATGAACGGGGCCTTTGGACTAAACTTTCTGTGCCTCCTTTCTTCAGTAGGTAAGAAGCAGGGCTCCCAGCATTCCTCTTGACCGAGTGGTAATTTATAGTTGTATGACCGTGACCTGCCATTCAGTGTTTTTGACTGGGAACTACTG